TTTTTTTCCGATTTATCAATAAAATTCAACTTTTATGAATTTGTACACCATAACGTTTATGTGGCTTAATTGTGTGAGCACAAGTGTATGTATAAGTAAAATTATATAATATAATTATTACGTAATAAAGTGTAAAGTATATAGTAGTAAGAAAATTCAAATTTTCGTTCAATATGAGTGCATGGTAACCAACAAATATAACCACTTTATATCCAAAACTCATTTTTTAAACATAAAAATTGATGGATCGTCACCTAAAATACAAAACAATGTATAAACAAAAATAAATGGAAATCGCTGACAGATATAATAACTAAATTTTATCCATTTTATAACGAAAATTCAAATTTTATTTGAATATGAGTGCATGGTAACGAACAAATATAACCACTTTATATCCGAAACTCATATTTTAAATATAAAAATTGATGTATCGTCACCTAAAGAAACAATGTATAATCAAAAATAAATGGAAATCGCTGACGGATATAATAACTAAATTTTATCCATTTTATAACGAAAATTCAAATTTTATTTCAATATGAGTGCATGGTAACCAACAAATATAACCACTTTATAACAAAAACTCAATATATTTTTTTATTTTTAACGCAGAAAGGTGTACTACGCGAAAGTACTTCAGTCATCCCGACATGATATTATATAAATTTTATAATACTGCATATATTATCATAGAGTTTTAATTATATGTGTTTATTAAATATAAATCACATATTATACATATACATACTACATGTAAAATGTATAATATGTGGAAAAAGTTTTCACAACTCAATTACAACTTAAAAAATGTTAGAAAGTATTTTTTATTATAATTAATGTAGAAAAAAGAATCACGCAAAAAAACAAACAAAGAAAAATCTTTAAGAATCCTACATATTTCGTGTTTAAGATGTGGCAATGCTCGTTTTCCTCATAATTGTAAACAATCTAACCTTTGCAACGCCGAGTTCGCTAAGTGATTTTTAAATTAATAAATTTAAGTGAAATATTAGAAAATAAAATTGAAATGTGAACTTATTTCAATGTTTAGAGTAATATTTAAATATACAGAGTGAAAAACGTGCATAAATTTAATGGAAGATAGAGAAATACCATCTGCTATTAGTGCAAATTTAATTTATCGTAAAAATTTAAAAAAAAAATATAAGTAATTTTTATATTATTTTTGGATATTCCTCCTCTGGAGAAGCTCCCCATACCCCATTTATACGGAAATTCCTTTTTTTCACCCCTCCGCCAAAGTAATCGAAATCATGCCTTATCTATGGGTCACCCACAGTAAAGTATGGACGGATTCTCTAGTATTATTATATATTACTTATTTGTGTATTAAATTTAGGTAAGAAAATATTCATATGCGTGGAAAGGTTGTTTATACTCATTTTAATTTGATATATAATTGCTTTTTTAGATATAATGAAAGAATAATTTCAGCGGAAAGGGGAATTTCATCGAATTGCAGTTATTTGCTTATTATCGTATGGCAGTGCTCAATTTCTTCATAATTATTAGAACATAAAATTTCTTACTAAAAACCCAGCAAAAAGTGTAAAACGTGTTTTTTTTTAATTTTAATAATTTAATCAATTTGAAAATGCACGTAGTGTGTTAAATGTAGTGAAATAGCGTGATGAAATGTTGTAATATTTGCAATTTATAACTTTAATATCCCATAAACTAAATATTTGCGGTACATATAACTCCATAAATTTTTTAATCAGGAGAACTTCCTCTTTCCAACGGTATAGAATTTTTCCCGCATTTCTGTACTAATATTGCTAAATAAAGACAGAGGAATTTTTGAGAAAAAGAGGATTTTCAGCGAATTGCTCATATTTGCCTATAATCATATGGCAGCGACCCCTTTCTCATAATTGCTAGCACATAAATGATATCCACTATAAATGTAAAAAGTTATTTTAAAAATATAGATTTCTTACATAAAAATCCTGGATAAAGTGTAAAATGTGAATTTGTTTAAATGTTTACAGTTTATTGTGAATTATTTGAAGTGAAAAATATGCGTTAAGTAGTAAAATAGCTTGTTGAATTACAAGTTTTTGAACCTTACATTCGATGATCTCATAAACAAACCGATTGCGGTACCAACGCGTAGCTAAAGAAATCGGCATTCTGCCAGAGCCTTTTTGAGATTCATGTAGAATTTTCTAAGATAGTTACTTACTTTAAATGGAAAAGTTTTGTAAAATTAGACAGTACACGATTTGGTATATATACAACTTTTGTTTGACTTACCCTTTTACTACTTTCAACGCAGTCATTTAATTTTTCAGCATTACATCCAAAACTGCTGTTTGAAGAACATTCATCATCTTCGGAGTCCTCATCATCATCGTCATAGTAGGTAGAATATTGTTCAGGGTTTTGGGTGTTGCTTGCGTCATCTTCTAAAAAGTATACATCATCGCTATGTTCAGACAGAGTTCGTTGTCGCTGTTTCCAGTAACTGCATCCTAGGTTTATCGGATGAGTATTAAAAGAACTATCTTTCACTTTATCGCTACTATCTTCAGGTATTCTTTCATTTTCTCTTATTCCGGTTTCCATTGGCTTATTATTAGGAATTTTATTCATATCCTTACAAATCGGCATGCTTAAGCCGGATATTAGTTGGGCAAGCAAGTTTTGTGCTACAGGCTCCTTAAACGGTGATTCTATATTTACTCGAATAGCACTCTGTGCAGGCACTTCACAATTCGCAACGGCGTTACAGGTAAACGAAAATGATTTTAACGACATTTTTATGATATTTAACTTAGATCCAGTACTTAAACTGCATACATTACAATTCGACCAAATGCCAACACTTTTCCGCTCTAAATTATGACTTAAATTAACATTTTTACAAAAGTTTACTCCTGAAATGTTTAATGCTAACACATTATTAACACATAAGTTTGATTTCACTTCATTAAATACGCAAATAACTGTATTAAAAATTACAGAAGACTTATTTTTCAGGTGCACAAACTCTAAAGCTTTATATACCCAAGATAGGTGTGCTGAAAATATGTTATTTGATTCAAACATGTGACGAATAATCATTTAAACAATTCTTCCAAATTAACCAATACATTATTATTCTGAGCAAAACCAAGTACTTCAATTTCCACTTAAAAAGTGTTAAATATCGTACTTCAAGGACAGAATAAATTTCATCAGCCTTTTTATGTCACCACTTTTCGAAAGTCACCAATTTTAAAAATTGACATGAAATTATTATTTGATGTTCATCAATATTATTTGAGATAAATACACAGTATTCCAATGGTTGAATGTCAATTATGTTTACAATTCCAAATCCACTGCAACACAAAGAATTTGTATACATTTTAAAATTAAGCTATTCTTCTTTAGACTTTTTCAATTTGGGCTCGCAGTCGATAACTTTTTACCTAGCAGACACATATATCGATACCTCTTACTGTCTGCCGTGTTCAAACGATGTCACTCCTAGTTGCTCTTATTACTGCTACTTCTACACACAATAGCAAATAGCAATAGTTGCATCCAAAAAATATACAATAGTGGGATTCTCTTGCTCTTCCAAGTCTGTACGATGACACAAAATGCAAAAATCGTATACCGAAATATGCCAGGACATGAGAGCACCCATTTCAAAAGCTAGTGATATATGAACGGCTGATTCGGTAAATTTATTGAGAATGGCTATTATGAGTTGCAGCACCTTCTGCATTATTTCTTAACAAAAAAACTGTAACAAATCTTTAAAATTTATGTAGAAATTATAAAATCTACTTAAAACGTACTCAACAATTTAACAGCGAAATATGTCTTTATGTAAAATTACAGCTAAAACAGGGTACAATTATTTTTTTACGTGTGCACGTGTGCACGAAAATAAACATGGGTTTTGGTCTAATATTTTTTACATCTATTGCAACCCTGCTTTAGTTGTCATTTTACATATAGACATAATTCTTCGTTAAATTGTTGAGGAAGATAAGTTTTAAATACATTTTATAATTTCTACTTAAATAATAATGATTGATAGTCGTGCATACTAGTCATTCTTAACAAATTGACCGCATCAGCCGTTCATATATCACTATATTCTACAAAGGGTGCTCTCGTACAAAAAATTATATATACAACTATTCAAAACTGAGTGAAAATAATACACTACATATTGCTTTATTTATTTATATATATAATAGATATATGTACATTAGCCGTGTTTTTTTTGACCATCACAAGCTAATAGCTAAATCATAGACCAATAGAACGCATTTAGCTTATGTCACATTTTCGCTTAAATATGCATTATGTTGGCAACAATCAGCTGATATTCAATTTATTGCAACGAAATGTTTGACATGGAGAAAAGGTAAATTTGAATTTTTAAATTTGTAAGCAAACTTTTCACAAACTAAATAACTATTTATTTCGTTTATATACAGCAAAAGAAAAGTAAAGTTTGGACGAAGGCCGAGACACTTCTATTCCTGAAGTGCTACAATGACAGGAAGGATGAGTTCCTGCATGCGCGGAAGAAAAATTTCGCATATGAAAACGTCTTGGAGGACATGACATATCAAAGATTTACAGTAAGAATATTTTAAAGTTATTTTGTAAAAATTTATTACATTTGTTTCCACAGGATACAACAATTAATGCGGCTGCCCTTGTATCAAAACTGCGACCGCTTTTGAATGCCTGCAAAACAGTGAAAGACAACGAGAAGCAGACTGACACTTCTCCGTGCACAGTACCTTATATGCGCGAAATGGACGAAATTTTTGGCGAAAGTTGATTGGTGTCCAATAACCATGCCATAAATATTGGGACAGATCCTCAAGAGGTATTGGTTGAGTGTAGTGGTTAGTTAAAATTTAATGTTCATTATGTATTGCTTATATTGCATTCGCTTTTTTATATTTTTAAACAGGTAAGGATTCAACTGAATTTCAAACAATGCTCGACGATATGCCAACTACTTCAAGAAGCCAGTCCGCACTAAGCCGTAGCATATGCAGATCGAATGCAGTGTATTCACAAGAGCCGAACGCAGCAAATCCTGTCCAAATCGTCGCTAAAGAACGATGAAAAAAAATCGAACAAAAAAGGAAAAGTGTTGAAGTGCAGGCGAGGTTTTAGGCGAATACAGAAAATCAAACGCAGGATTTTGCCTAATAACAAGATATTCTAATAGAAATAGAACAAAAAAAACTGATAATAGAAGAAGAAAAATTAAAAATTTTACAGCAGTCTTTTGTGAATAAAAATTAGAAAAGCTACTTGATTTCATAACGAATATATATTGTTTTATTTAACGGAAATATATAATCAAGCTTATCATAAAATGAACATTTTTAACTTACAAATCTTGAACAAATGCATACTATATACAGGGTGGCTGATGAAAGCCAACAAATTTGGATGAACTAAGGCAATCCATTCGAGAAACAATTGCGGCTATTCCCGTCTCAACTCTCCAAGCAGTAATGAGGAACTTTTTGGTAAGATGCCGCACATGCATCAACGAGCAGTGAGGCAATTAAATTCCATTATTTTTAAAACTAATTAAGCTATATTTAATAAAATTGAATGAGCTTTAAGATGAATAAAAGAAAAATGAATTCCAAACAATAAAAAAAAATTATTTGAGTTTCTTAATGTAGCATAATTCATCAGCCACCCTGTACATTTATATAAAACGAATATGTCGTAATATTATAAATACTTTTCTTATTTGAGATTGAAAATGGAAAATGTTGCTCTAAAAGTGAAATTTTAAAATTAAGAAAATAAAATGTATTAATTTCTTCGTGTTAAAATTGTAAGCAACTGATTCCGACGATCTCCACTTGCTTCTCTCGCCAGCTCATTAGCAGGTTCTTGCTCCGGTTCGACACTTTCAATTTGAGGGTCAATAATTGTATCGTCGTTTGTAATAATACATATAACGTGCATAATGCATGCACTTGCAACTAAATTCGAAATTGCACATTCATTTCTGTGCTCCGTAAATTTAAGAAGCCTTCGGGAATATTCTTGCTGAAGAATGGGTTTTGTTAAAGCTGATTTGATTAGGCGTTAATGAACCATAATCTTTAAACACCGGTACGAAGTAATTTCTGCAAGGGTATGCCGAGTCCTCGAGAATAAAAGTAGAATTTGGAAATAAACTTTCCATATTACTTTCCGCTTTTCTATAAAATACTGACCTTTTTAGCACTCTAGAGTCTTGATATGATCCGGGTTCACCACAGGATGGTCAATATTTCCTTATGCTCTTCATTATTTGAATTTGTGTACATAGTACCAAGGTTAACATTTAGAATAGCATCTCCGGATTTCGGGGATAAAATGGGTATCACTGGGAAGGTGACGTTCTCCAGATCACGAAAATACATATATATAATTGCCGCTGGCTTATAGTTTTAAAGATATTTGCATTTAAAGTTGAAAAATTGACAACTTTTACATTGATAATTTGTATATTGTAAATAACTTTTTCACTTATATTATGCACTTTTCGTTTACTAACACTTCACTATAACGTTTGTGTGTATTAATTTTTTTAATATTTGTTGTAAATAAGGCTTTATTTTAATTATTTTATTTTAGTTAAATTCTGCGTGCATTGCGAGGTCCTAACATCGACTCGGACCACTATCTTGTTGCAGCGAAGATTCGCACGCGCCTCTGTGCAGCAAAAAACGCACGCCATCAAACGCAAG